GTTGTTGATATTTTCTTGTGGAACCTTTCTGTTTATGACTTACTTGAGAGAAAAAGAATAAGTCAACAAAAAACAGCATTAAAGGGCTTTTTTTTTAATTTCTTTGCCAGCACTTTCGATATTAATATATTGTCATCAGGCAACTGAAATGGAAGACTTTTTCTGAACAAAACTTTTGAAGTACAGAATTGGAACAACAGTAATCGAACAGAATACAAACTTTCAACATAAAATTTTTTGAATAGGGGCTACCACCAGAATGCTGTCCTCAATTAGCTTAGCAGAACANAATTTTAATAAATATGATTCAATTTAAATTGCTTTGATATAAAAGTAGAAAAAATTATGTATGGAACAAAATTTTGAATAAAGTTGGAAAAGTTGTATTTTACTCAAAACTTGTGGAATTGTGTTATTTTAGATCTCTCATCTTAACAACATTTAATTTTGATATATTGTAAATTAAAATAATAGTGTAAAAAATAAACCGAAATTTTTATTACTTAGCTATAGCTATAATTGAGAGTTTGTGTGCATTTGATGTTTTCTTGGACATGTCAGTACTTGTTTTATATGTTATAGATGGTTGCATCTGATGGATTATAAATCAAAACATCAACGTATTGAAAAATGTATGTGTTCACCATGGAATTCTAAAATGAAGTATTACTAGTGAATCAATATTACATTCTGCATCAAACTTGAAAAAATTTTATAGAAACATTTATTCTGCAAAGAGAAGCATAGGGTAATAACACCATGAATCCATTCAGAAACTAAGTACAGTACTTTGTGAATCTAAGCAGTCTGTTCGAGAGGCTGCTTACTTCTCAAACAAGCAGCTGAAATCTGAACACTTAATCAGCGGGGGGCAAGACCTAAATTTGATGTGGGCAAGGTACAAGACCTTGGGCAAGGTACATTTCGCGAGGCCCTCTGGTGGCGCAAGAAGACTGATTTTATAAAATAAAAAGCAGTTGAAACTGTCAAATTTTTATTCCTAAAAATGCAAACTATATTCTTTAACTAACATTAAAAAAAATTAAAGAAACAGAAATTTCCTGCTTTTAGCCTTACTGAACTCCTTAATAATTGTATCATAATTCAGCTTATACGCTATATATGCTTTAATAGATAAAATTGCGAAAGCTGAAAGTCTTTCCTGACCCATTGTATTTCTTAAATAATTTTTTATTCGTTTTAATTTTGAAAAGCTCCTTTCAGCATAGGCAGTACTTACCAATATTGTTAACAAAATTCGAACGGCAATGTAAATATTTGGGTAAATTTCTTTCAAGTTATTTTCTGTTATGTATTGGAGCAGCTGTTTCACATCTTTAATGAAGTTGGGTAAATTTGGGAGCATTGTTTGTAATTCTTCATATAATTCGTAAGGTTGTAAGTTACTGCTCTCGCTCACTCGCAGGATTGAGTGTAAATCTTGACATTTTTTAATATTTGCTCTTTTGGAATATTTTTTAACTTGCTTAGATCATAGAGAAAACCAAAATTTTCAAAATGTTGATTTAAGGACATAAATCCCAAATCCATATTGCTTATTATAGAATCAATTGTGGTGTTAAAAAAATCTGTTTCATACCTGCTTTTGGGAGACTGTATAGGTTGATCGCTGCCTTCATCATTGAACATCCTTTTCTTTTTGGCTACCCTTTCGTTTTTAAAGTCTTTTGGCAGTTCATAACTGCTATTCTCAATAAATCGACGAGCATCAGACAAGCATTTTTCGAATCCAGTTTGTCGATATTCTTTGATCCAGTCACAAAATGTACACAAATATTCAAGAGCATTGCTTATTGGACTTGTAAAGATTGCCATAATTTGCTTATGGTATTAACATGTGATAATATCTCATACCATACATGTAATAATATGATAAATTCTAAACTGAGCATTTTGTTTAAAACCGAATCATAATCACTGAGTGTGTCTGATTGTTCCGTTTGATTTTTTAAGTTTTCGATGCATTCAACATCAAATTGCAATAATATGGCCTTCACTGCCTCGATTCTGCTTTCTCACATTGTGTCTGATAAAGGCTTCAAAGTAAGCTTTAATTTGCCTTTGATTAATTCCCAGCATTTGCTGGAACTTGAAAATAGCAAATAAATTTTCTGAATAAAACAAAAAAATGTTTTTGCTGCCACAGAAGAATTAGCTGTGTCTACCAATAGTAGATTCTAGCTATGACAACCGCAAAGTGTAAAAAATGCTCTGGGATTAATATTTAATATTCGAGTTTTAACTCCACTATTTATGGGATACTTTACTGCAATACTTTGATTGGGTTTCTAGCCATTGAGAATTGTGAAAGTAATGTAGACAAACACAATGGGAAATCCCCAGCTCTGGCTGGCAAAGATTCCCCATGATAGCAACCCAATGCCAGCAAATGTTGCTAGATAAATAAAAACAAATTTGGTATGCCAATATATTTATCGTTTTATGATGAGTAAAATTTTTTCTTTGAGTTTACGGCTTTTATGTAATGCATAAATCTTCGAAGTGCGAGGCTCTTCGGACAGCGAGGCCGTAGGCAGTGGCCCACATCACCCACGCCTTATGCCGCCTCTGCACTTAATGAGCATTTTGCCATTTACCAAGCAAAGTATGCTTACACTCTCAAACACTATCTATAAGTCAATCAGATTGCTTGGTTATTAGAGAATTGAGATTATATGAGAAAAGTTGATATGAAGTAACAACAATCTTATTTCCTATTTAACTATTAATTATATTTTTATAACTGATATTTATTTCAAATGTTTCTCTTTTCATTCTAAAATGCAATTTGAAATCTAATACACTATACAAGTTAATTGTATCTATATAATTATTGATTTTTTTCTTTGAACTTTTTTCTTTAACTGTACTATTCATTTATTCATATTATCATCCATTACAGATTATGTTGAAATTATTGAACTGTCTAAAAGTATTGTTTTAGTCAATATAAATGTGGTAGTCAACATACTATTGAATGCCATTTTTACTAGGCTGTAACACAATAGCTTGATGTACTATGAGTGAGTGCTTATGTGAGTTAATTGTTCAAGAATTCAGATGCCAACTTTCTGAGTGATCATGTGACTACTCAGATATGGAGTGCTCAGTTTCCAAATATGCCTCATATTGTCAACATAAGTATGCAAATGGCATAAGATAAAAAAATTTTATCTTGACAGATTCAAGAATGTTAATGCTTTGTTTATTTCATGTGAAAAGCCTGATGTATTACAGGTTTATTTCTAATGGTAGTGCTGTTAATGAATGATGCATTGAAATTCTCAGTTGCATTCATAATGCAGTAAGACAGCCTCATCTCAAACAAGCAAAAATCATCCATCATGATATTGTCTCTAGTGCATTTCACTTTCCTAGTTAATGAATATCTGGAAAGACATCAGATATTTGTGCATCTATAGTTTCCTTACTCATGAGATCTAACGCCTCAAACTTTCACATTTTCATCAGAATGAAATCTCTGCTGAAGAGTCATAGATTCAAATTAGCAGAAGAGATGAAAAGTGCTGCAACAATTGCACTCAATGAAGCAAATATAAAATGGAATGTTTTAATAAGTGGTATGAATGTTGATAAAAATTTGTAGCTGCAGAAGATGTTTATTTTGGAAGTGGTAGTCTGTAAATATTTGCACTATTAATATAATGAAAGTTATATTAAAATTTTGGTTTATTTTTGCTCTGCTATATTCTTTTGTTGTATTATTGTCTTTTCTTCTATTTTTATTTTCCAATCAAAATTTTGTTAGGATATTTTTTTTGCTATTGATTGATTTTAATTACAACTTTTCTTAGAAATAGACAATGCCATGTACTTTACGAAGCTTTAATAATTGTAATTTAGTATGTAATTAATTAATTAGAAATGGCTAGAAAAATGATTGGCCTGAAGTCACAACCTGACAAACTAGTCTTAATATTTAATTAATTAGCTAGGCTGATTTTTTCTCTATATATTTCTGAATGATTTAATTGATGAGAGTAATTTTTAATTATTAAAATTTACATGATATAGTAAAACTGGTAATCTTTAGGTAAAATTAATTAATAATTGTTTAAATTTCTAACAGAATAATAGCCAAAAAAAATCTATGAATGCTGTAATTTGAACTGTAATTCATTTCAGTAAAACATTTAAACATTTACCAGCAAAATTATTTAATTATCAAACATTTTCAGCTATCCAAGCAGTCATCTTTAGGATACAACGAAATAGAATAGAATATAGAATGGAATTCACAGGATTTGAATAACTTAAATTAGGACAAGATTTTATTTATCTTTATTTTATAAATTTTATTTTTATATCTGTTATATAATTTATTACAATCTTTTCAGAGATTAAATATAGAATTTAGGTTAATTCAAGTTCTGTGTATTACATTTTATATTCTGTTCCATTTGGTTCATATCCTACAGATGGCCAAAAATGTTTGCTAATTAAATATTTTTTTTATGGTAAAGTTTAAGCACATTGTAGTAAAATATCAGTTTATCAAATATATTTAATTCATTTGTAGCTATAAGAAGAGTGTTAATTCAGCTTTTAATTGATATAATTGTACTGTACAGTACATATTAACTAATATGAACAGTTACTTTATTAATGATATTCAAATATAAAAACATTCAAAACTGCTTTTGTATTATAATTTGATAATTACTTTTTTTTATGAAGTAATTATTCGATCATAACCTGTGGCTATATTTTGTTTCAGACCACTAAAAAATTTATTATACAACTCATATTATGAATGTCAATGATGAACATTAATTAAATTATGTATCCTATCAAATTTCCTATGCTATAAAATGAGGCTTGTGCAAAATCAATTGAAAATTCTTAATATAAAATGTTAGAATAATTCATTTATGATTAATGGTTCATTTTCATTAATAATAAATATCATCTATTATGTCATATCTTGTAAATTAATTACCATTATTTTTCTTGTATAGAATTCCTACCAATGGAGCCATCGACTTGATAAGTGTTTTTAAATACTAATTTGAAGTTGGTCTTGGATTACACAAACAACGGGCACCATTTTTATTACTTCATATATTTGTAAGAAAATATATTTTAATATATCCATTTGGATGAATTTTTTTGGATTGTTTTTTGTTTTTTTAATCACAGCATTTTTTAAAATGTGTATCAAAATTTTCCCTTATAAAAGGGGGTTAATTATAGTTGAATGACTGTAATTTAATGTCATTTCAGTGAAAGTGTACTGATGCATCTTCTAATGAGGTATATAAGTTGAAATGTAGTAAGTTCATTTTATCCTATTTAAACCAATAATCTTGCCCTAAAATCAGCATAATATTGTATTTGCTTATTTGCTTTTTTTTGTCATATTTTTGTATAATAATGGATTATGAATAATTTCACAAAACTTATCATACTAACTACTTTTTTATTAATATCATTTATATTGATTTACAATGAATTTATAAATCAATAAAGAAATGATTCATAAATTTTTATTATATTTTTTGTAATTATTTTGAAAATACATAGCACAAAATGTAAGTAGTGAATATAGTCAAAATTAGTTATTTTGAATGATACTAATTAAAAAATTATTTGAAATGAAGTCACAATTTTAAAAAGTAATTAAAGGTAAGTGAAGAATGAATTTAATAAAAGGTAAGAATGAAAATTGCAAAATGTATGAAGTCTAATTCTAGTTTTTGAGTTTTGTATATATTTCTATGTGTAAATGAAGCAGCTGCAATAAAATTTTGAAAAACATTGGATTTTTGAGATTGAATACAGCGAATTTGCCATTTTTCTATTGGTGAGAGATTATAATTTATACAGGTGATGTGATTTTCTTCAAATTTTATGGTGAATTTATTGTGAAGATTTATCGTACTACAGATGCATTGGAAGCAATACACTCAGGAACCTGAAATTTGTGACTCACACTTCATAATGTCCATAATATTTTAAGATTCAAAACTGTAATTAATTTCATTTTTGAATTTGAATATTTTCATATTGAATTTTTGTAGTTGTAATATTATTGCAATAAAATTTCAAATGGTTTCAAACATATTGTTAATTTTGGGTTTCTGTATGTATTAATAAATCTGTGTAAAATGTTTTTAAGTATTTCGATCTCAACTGATATATCATATATCAAAAATTACTAATTATAATAATTCATTTTTTATAGTATANTTATTTTTTAAAATGAAATTTTGGTACTAATTATGTGTAATATGTAAAATTAAGTGAAATTTTATCTTAGTAGTGAAATCTTTCTTATTGCTTTAACATTTCCATTTGCTTTCATGTCTTTGTTTCTGAGACTGACCATAATTTCTTGATATCAAAGTGGATGGGGACTGCAGCTGATTAAAATTTCATCAAAAAATTATTATGGACATTATTAATAATTTGTTAGTAAATTGTTAGTGATACTGATCTGGTGGCATAAAAAAAGAATATGTAAATTTATGTAAAAAATTTAGTTTTGGAATTATGAAAAAGTGATATTTTTTTTAATAATATGACATTGAATTTAATAGTTAGGTTGATGTAGAAGGTTTCCTAGTCATATGAAGCATATTTTTCAGATGAACTTAAAATAAGTTCTGGTCACTCATAATTTTATTATAAAACTTATAACTTTGTAAGTCACACTTTTGCTTTATAATTAGAATTGCTTTTATGGCTTCAGTATTTAATTTCAATTTCTGTTTTTAACCACAAAGAATTCAAAATATTCTTTCTACTGAAATTGTAGTTTCTGAAAAATGACAACTAATTTTATCAAATTATTAAAATCTTGGAAGTTGAGATCCTTTTCATGCAGTCCATTAAATATTTTGACCATTCTGTCAACTAAACTGGTTTTTTTTAATTCAGTTTCTTCAAGGTTTAATTATTATTGTGTTTATTAGCTATTGATCAAATTTTTTTTTTTGATTCTGATGAAACCGTGTTGTAGTTTACATTGCTTTATACAGACACACTATGGTGACTTTTTTCAAAACACTTGGCAGATTAAGAGATAATAATAAAGAGATGAATAATCTGCCAAGTGTTTTGAAAAAAAGTCACCATAGTGTGTGTGTATAAAATATTGATCAGATTGTCAAATTTTATTTACTGTTAGTATAATATGTTCTGTAAATTTGTTGAAACTCTTCTGTAAGATGTGTTATGTCATTATTCATTAGTATCCATTCAAATTTATGACTGTTGTCAACACAGAATAAATGTTTTCAAATAAATTATGATTTTTTAAATATAGTATAATGGCTGTCCGGAAAAAATCCACAGAAGTTTGTGCAATGTATTTTTTAATTTGCAAAAAGAAAACTCTATAAACTAAATAGTCAGTTGAAAGGTGACAGAAAAGTTTACATTATCTTATTTTTGTAATTCCACAAGTTCCCATTGTTGAATGGGGGTTGATTTGCCTCCAGATGTGTAGTGCAAGTTTCCATATCAGACTTTATTTTTCATATGGCATTTTATGTATTATCTGACCTTGTTTTTTTACTTCCACCCCTTTCCATAAATGGCTGCCTTGAGAATTTCCTAAAATACCTGATTAGCTCATTACTCAACCTGATTACTTCTGGAAAATTTGCAAGATTATCCTCCTCTTTGACAAAGGTAATGGTTTTATGTTGCAGGTAATACAGTATGGTTTTGGCATAGTGGGAACCTGTTTATTCTAACTAGAAGACTTAGTCTGCTTGAAAATAGTTATTTCAAATTATGGAATCAGGCAATGTTCTATACATTCATTTAAATATTACTGGGCAGTGATAGCAAAATTTGGTTTTCTGGTTAGGGTTTCATTCAATCTTTTCTGTTCCATTGCAATCCAAATCAAAACTTTGTTAAACTTAAAAAAACTTATATTTATACTTATGCCTTAACTATTAATATTTTATTAAATCAAAACTTTGTTATTGGGTTTCTTTCTTGTCATCAAATTATTATTATTATTGTATACAGCTTCATCTAATATTAAAATTTTAAAGTTCAATAAGATTTATATGATTTATAGTCTACAAGGTTTGAATACATATTGTAATTCAGTCAAATAAACAGATCTATCACAAAAAAATTACTTAGTTACTGTGATTAATGAACAGGCTTATTGTACTGTACACCCAGCCTACTTAACTTAACCAAAATGTATTTTGGCCTTACTGCCGTTATCAATTGTATGATATATAACTAACTGTGTGAATCTGTAAATCAAAACCAAAACATGTTCAGGATCATCCATAATCATAATGAAAAATGTGCGCAAAAATAATTCCAAATGAAAATAAAAATCCAGAAAAGGAAATTGAACCACCATACCCAACAAATGTGGTGGAGATGGAAGAATATAAATTACCACAACCATAAAGAAGACAGAAGGATTATTCACAAGGTTTTTACTGGACTTGTTTAGTATTGTTGTTACTGTCCTAATGATAATTTAGAATCCTATTAATAAGGTATATGTAATAATTTGTAATAATTGTAAAAATTTTTCTCTGTTTTCGTTGGTTGCCTCGGATTTCGTCAACGTGCCCATGTGACCTTGCTGCTAATTTTACAAAAACAAAGGGTGACCCACGCGTTTTCCTGCTCAATATGGCATTGTGTTTCTCATTGTGTGAGCATACTCTGGCCCACCAGTGGCTAAATGGTTCCATTCCCTGAACATTGAAAGTTTATTCGTGGGTTTGCACCTTGCCAGGGCTGGCTACATGGGGTTTTCTAGGTTTTCTCCACATCTGTAACATCTGAATAGGGGCCAGTTACTCTTAAAAGACCTCCTGGAAGGCATTATTCCTCGCATAATGATCACCATATATTCATATGACTACTATTAGATGACATTTACATTACAATTTACCATGGAGCAATATATCCTAGAACAACAGTTCCCAACCTTTTTCGGGTGGCAACCCCCTTTTTATAAAAGCCAAGTGACCCGCGACCCCGATACAATTGAATAAGGTAATTAAAAAAAACAATGAAATTAGTTTTTTAGCATAATTTTATTTTAAATTATGTTTAATAATTAATTTAATGAGATGGTTGAAATTGCATGTATTATTAACCAGCCTCAAAATTCGCAGGTGAGATTTTGTTAACGCCAACCTCATGTCATTCTCAACATTTAATTTATTCCTCTCAAAACTCTCAACAGTACCCAGATTACACTTATTTTAATTTTTTAAAAATATATGAAATTATTCAAACTTTAAGACACCATTAAAAATAAATATTGCATTATAGTGAAAATTTGTTTTAGTTTACTGCATAAGTTGGCGACCCCACAGAAAACCCGTCGCGACCCATAGGTTGGGAACTCGTGTCCTAGAAGTTCATGCTCAACTAGCTGATAAAAGACAAGCATTACCCTTTGTGTCTAGCCAAACAATTCCAATGCTTTTCTTTCCTTTTAGCTCCATCATGGGACCAAAGAAAGTTTCCAGAGCCAATAACCCTTTGAATGCCATGTTAAATGTTCATTTATTTTTTACATTAGTCTTTTGTATTGAAGTTATATTAATTTATTATTGTTTTAGTATTAAACATTAAATTTATTCTCTATAAAATGTGATTTTTTGTATGTATTTTGAAATGTCTAGAACAAATTAATTGGATTTACATTGATTCATATGGAAATAATTGCCTTGGTTTTCATCAGTTTTGGATTGCTGATTCTTTTTGGATGGATTATCAATGAAAACCAAGTTATCACTGTATATTTGAACACTACATATTCTATCAAATGTAATATTTAGTTTCTAAAAATTTTTTAAAACTATTGTTTGATTAAGCATTATTCAACCTTTAAAAAGTTTTAAAGTTTAAGCATTACATTTGTCAGGTTGCCGAACTGCGCAGATATCAGAGTTGCTCCAAAGCATGAGTGGGTGTGTTTGACACAGAGACAAACTCCACAGTTACAAGAAATTAACCTGGTTTATTATAACAGAGAAATGTCTTACAACAATAAGACACTTTAAACGGATGGCAGAGGCCAAATCTTCTGGGTCCTTTGTTCCTGATTATGGAGGTCCAAAGAGGAAACTTCTCTGATGTTTTCACAGGAGTCGGTGTCCCGAGGTGTAATGAGGAACTTTGAAGAGAATAATCCTTTCAAGGCAGGTGTAGCACATCCAAAAGCACAAGAGAGAAGCCCTGTTTTTGCCAAATTTGTTTTTTTTTTTTTAATAAGATTTTTTCAGTCCCAGATCAAACATTCCAATAGGTTGATTCTGACTCATCTCTGCTTTTCAATTGGTCCTCACTTATTACGAAATGTAATGAGATCAGAACCCAGATTGCAGGATGAGTTAACACTAACTGACAATTTGATCCACATTGAAGATGTTTAATCTTAGAACTTACATTCTTCTTCTATTGTTTTAACATGAGATTCTCTCTTTTCTAACAATTCTGTCAAACATCTTATATGGGCATGAAATTTATGCCCTTATATGTCCTTAAAATGTGTCCTTATATCCTTTGCTTAAATCATTTATAAATTTTTTCCACAAAATTGTTTTTTTCTTTTTATTTTTAGTGTGGTTCCAGCCTACTTCCGCAGCACTACACTTCAATAATAGTGCATGCTGTGTTCAAATATATTTGTAAACCTGAAAATGGTTCTTAATATGGTATGGTTGCTGTTTATTCAATTTCTATGTATTGTAATATAACGTCCTTTTAATCCAAAGAAAAATTATTTGGATTAAAAGGATGTTATACGTAGAAACTGAAAATGGTTGTTTAAGATGACTGAAAATGTTGGTTTTTGTTTTGAGATTAAAGTTTAGGTTTTTAAGAGCTGGATTTGCAGTTTTTTGGAGTTTAGGTTCAGTTTGTAGTTAGAAAAATTATCTTATCTATTTCTTTTAAACTTTTAACAACAGTATGATTTGATAATTGTATCCGAGTATGTTTTAATTCAAAATTTCAAATTTTTAATTAGAAATTTTAATTAAAAGTTTGACTCAAACTGATTT